CACTTTGAGAAAATTTTGTTTGTTTTGCATGCAATGTTCCACACGTTTTATTAATTAGGAGTATCAAATAGTGATTATTACATCCTGGCATAGATTATGTTAATGTAGACACAGGACCATACTATTTTCGGGGTGCTAGGACATATTGTTCAGACTTCCGTCAACATTTCCGTAGCGATATATGGTAAATCACTTCCTCGCTGAATGTTAATTACTACCTTTAGTATTAAAAAAAAGCCCGTAATCTAAAGCGAGGGTTCATTGCCAATGTTGGGAAAAAATTGCATTCGGTTTGCTGCCCTCCTTCCAACCGCGAACGTTCATCACATGCAGTTTACGTAGGAAATATGGACAATATGCCGTTTCAGCAAGGAGGTTAAATACAAGTATTGTATTCAACCTCCTTGGTTTCAGTAAATAACCTGACATCTAAAATTGTTCATTTATGAAGTGCAAAAGCGTGAAACATAGGCCGTAAGCCATGGAGGTCGTTGACCTTTGTTGGGACGCCCCCCTCCCCACAAAAGTGCCAATTCATGTCACTACAGCACACATGTAGCTTACCACACGATTAGACGGTCAACCTAGAGTGTAATTTGAGTTTCTGTGAATATTTCAATAATTTTAGATGTCAGGTTATTTACTGAAACAGCATACTGTCCATATTTCCTACGTAAACTGCATGTGATGAACGTTCGCGGTTGGTAGGAGGGCAGCAAACCGCAATGCAATTTTTTCCCAACATTGGCAATGAACCCTCGCTTTAGATTACGGGCTTTTTTTAATACAAAGGAGTAATTAACATTCAGCGAGGAAGTGATTTACCATATATCGCTACGGAAATGTTGACGGAAGTCTGAACAATATGTCCTAGCACCCCCGAAAATAGTATGGTCCTGTGTCTACATTAACATAATCTATGCCAGGATGTAATAATCACTATTTGATACTCCTAATTAATAAACGTGTGGAACATTGCATGCAAAACAAACAAAATTTTCTCAAAGTGTAAAGTATATTATGTTTTAAGAGTCATTGCACGAGAAAACCAGGCAGAGGCCGGAAGATGGGGGTCGGCCAAATCGGCTCATACTTTGTATGTGAGATAGGTATGAGGAACTATTAACAGCCATATAGTTAAAACCCTCCAGGTATTTTTCGTTATGGAGTTCTGGGACCCCCCTCTGAGACCCTCAAAAATCTAACAATTTATGGCTGAAAATTACTGAAATTACAATGGACACCGCGGA